CAGTTCACTGGAAGGCCCAAATTAATGCCATCCATAAGTTAGATATCACTTTTAGATATGTTTCGTAGATTCATTCGGGCCAAGTACAATAACTTCAGTTTTTGTCCCGTGTTTAACCATCAAAAGAATTTAAGGTCATCCAACGTTTTTAAGTAACGGACGGACGGACTGACGGACTTGAGCAGACCCCGCACCCCCCCCCCCCAAAACGAAAAACTCTTCGGTTCTCCACGAATTACACAAGCCACCCAAAGCAGCGTTAAAAAAGCGGGAGGCGCCGAAAAGCGACTAATTTGCATCACTGTAACTAGATAGGGCACGGCTGGCTTGAGCGATCCACTTGATCGTCGTAGTACCGCTTAGCGAGAGCGCGTATGTTTTGGATTAGGCCAACCGGCTAACTCAAACATATCCAGGTTATCAAAAGCTTATGAGTTTGATGACCTCACACGTGGGGCTTTGTCTGGCATACATTCAACTTAAATAAATAGTTTGGTTTGTTAGGAGAAAAACAAAATCTCTTTGTGGTGTCGAGTTAGATTGGAAAGTGTATGCCCTTGTAAACATCTGTTAAGTATAAGACTGCAAACAGCAGCTGCTTAGCTTTGCATAAAGAAAAACAAAGTTCAGATAACCTCCTCCTCTTAAGCTTACTAATTCATTCTTTATATCTGTTGTTGTGTTATGTCCGTACACAAACAAAATGTAAGATGACAATCAACATTTTTCAGGGTATGCGTGACAATTGTTTGGACAGGTGCAGTAACTTTCCACAAGGTATATAAACTCATATAGCAACATTATTCAACATGTGATTTGTGTTAGTTATGGAAATCGGGCTTCTAATATCTAATATGTCTAATATATTCTGGTATATTTAGTTCAGCACACATTTTGTATGAGCTAAACCTAACACCATTTCCTTTTTTTTCAACTTTTTCGATTATCTTTTGTATCAGGTTAGCTCGATTTATTTCAGCTCGTTTTTTTCAGCCAGTTTATCTGAGTCTGGCCTGTGCAGCTGCAGAGCATCATGGTGTGTCTATCACACTGCTGCTCTCCATCTGAGCCCCTCAACACACTGTCTGTTAAACAGGACACACACATTCTCACAAACATGCACACATAGGCACACAGACAGTAGGTTCAAAAGATTGAGCACTAATTCCCCAAATCCTGTGTGGGTTGTTGGAGCCAGTGCTGTCATCCAAGAATGTCACCAGGCAGCAGCTGTTCACCAGTGTCACGTGTGTGTGTGTTTGTGTGAAGGTAGGCTTGTGGACACATTCACTGTGGTCAGAACGATCTATCTCTCTTTGTTTCAGTTGTTTTGCATGGCTGCGTTTATATTCCATGAGCTGCAAATGAGATCGAGATGAGAATTTGAACCTCTCATGTCTGAAATAACACATACAAAAATCCTTATTGTAGCTCACACACACAAACACAAGAGCAGATACATAAAATGTTTACGTCATGTACTTTATACACAGGGTAGCACAAAAAACACAAGACAGACATCCAGGCAGGATAACATGAGTAAAAGACATGCTGAACTGTTAAAGGAGACAGAACAAGAGAAATCCAACTCAAATTGCCCTTTCTTTCTCTCACATTTACTGTTTGTGTCCAATTACCATGCTTGAATTATTCTGTTTAACTATTGCTATTGAGTTTTTATCTTTTTTTCTGGTCTCACCTTTGGTATTAAAGTGATGTTTTTGTATTTATACACGTTCCCTGTCAGTTTTTAGGCTGTCGCAGCCTAACTTAAAAGGTCATTTGAATACATTTGTCCTTAATATTTTCGAGCTGTTCAAACACCTCGCTCTTATATAGCACAAAGACACTCTGTTAAAAGCTAAGAAATAACACTTTAGATCTCTGATATCATGTCTCTCATACATTATCTTAGGAGCCGCATCTTTCTATGATCTTTCCCTCTTTTATTGTGTTCATGAATGCGTGTTTTTGTGTTTATTTTAGGAAGCAGAGACTACTGAGGCCAGGATCTCTGCTTTGGACGCCAGCTTGAAGAATATGGTGTATGAGTACGTGTGCCGGTCTCTTTTCAAGGTAATACACACACTTACACACAGAAATAGGACAAATGTGGTTTCAGGACTCTCTAAAAATTCCAGTCGTCCCTTTGGTCATTTGTGTTGGTGATGAGAGGATAGTGACAACAAAGAAACCTCAGATGGGTTTTCACAGCAAAACAACATCAATCTGTTTGGAAGAAGACCTCCAACTGTTTTACTTGTTTCCCTTGTTGCTCGTTGTTAAATTGATTCAAATGATAACAACTGCCCAAAACACATCACCCATCATGAACCAAATAAATGTCTCTACTTTTGTACTCACAGCTAGAGAGAACAAGTCAAATCCAACAGCTACCTCAGCTGATTGGGTTATCTAGTTATTTTTGATGTATTTATTTTTCTTCTTTACCACAGTTGGTTAATCTCCCGTACATCTACTCTCACTTTGTAGTACAAAGTTGTAGTAGTGTAGTATCCTTATTGATTGTTTAAACCAAACGCTCAATCAGATAAACAAATACATGTACCCACTTACACACTCAGACCACTGCAACCAACACAGTAATGAAGTGTCAAATGTTGACCAACATGGAGCAGTCATTGCATCGATCGGGCAGTGAATGGTAAATGTAATTTCTCTCTCTCTGTGTGTGTGTGTGTGTGTGTGTGTGTGTGTGTGTGTGTGTGTGTGTGTGTGTGTGTGTGTGTGTGTGTGTGTGTGTGTGTGTGTGTGTGTGTGTGTGTGCGTGCGTTTCAATCAGAGATAGGGAGGCTGTTAACTGCTGATCACGTCTACAGGCTATCAACCCAACAGTAGGACACAGTAACACACACACAGACACACACACACACATTTTCGGGACCCCCTCGAAAACGAGATGGTGCATCTCAAGGGGTTTATCCCAATAAATAAAATGTCTATATATACACACACACACACACACACACACACACACACACACACACACACACACACACACACACACACACACACACACACACACACACACACACACACACACACACACACACACGTGTGTGTTGACAGCAGCAGTCCAGTCATTAGCAGAGAGGAAACATTGGACTACATTATCAGTGCTCCTGCCAGCCCCCCCCGTAGTGCTACAGAAGAGATAACTTCAAGGGGGAGAGAGGATAGTCGGGAGAAAGAGTCCAGTGGAAAGATATAGGTGGATAATGAGCAAGAGAGGACAAAAATGAATGAGGGATAATGGGAGAACAAATTATTTGAAGGAGGATATTATACCAAAGCATCTGTAGGAAAAACAAACATCCCATATCTTCAGAATGTCTTTTTTATAGCCGTGGTCGGCACTCAGACTGTTCTGTATGTTTTCAATTCCACTAGGAACAGAATTGATTCAGCTTAATCAGGTATTGATTGAGCATGGCTACCCACACAGAAGCTTGATTAGGAATCAGGGTTACTCACATTTAGACTGTTGAACCTCTTTTTATGTTATTTTATATGTGTATGTGTGTAAGATTATTAAGCATATGTTATTTGACTTATAATGAGATGTTTTATATTCGACCAGCTTTTATTTTCACCTAGTAAATGTCTTGAAGAGGAATATTTTCAGTGTTCAATTCCTGGATGTGCCTGTGAAATACTAATGTTAGGCTAATAGCAGTCTCTTAATGATATAGTGGTATATTTGAATGAAATATAGGTGATCCATTTTGGATGTGCTTCTTGAAAATGCAGGTGGACATCTGGTACAGATCATATCAAGGCAACTCATTCATATAGCCCAATATCACAAATCACAGATTTCCCTCAAGGGGCTTAACACAGATTGTTTATGTTGTTAAAAAGTGTCATTGCATTTCTTTGGTTGGATGCTCTCACCTAATGTTTATGATAATTGTACCTTTTACAATTAATTTCAAGTTGGAAATAAACATAATTGAAAGAACATTCAGGGTCCCACGATTCCATAAGGTCAGACTGAAGCACTCCTTTTGTACATCAGTCAATCCTCACAGTAAATACAGAGCTAAATCCCAGATCAAATGCACGCTAAAGGGTCATGAAAAAGCTTTCTCTCAGTGATTGCGATGTTATGTTAAATGTTCGTTGTTTGTGTTTCATGTATTGTGTCTGGATAGGTGTCTATGTTGGTGTTGGACTTTATTTGATCTGACCAATAAAGTATTATCGTATCGTAACATTCCAATATGAAGAAAATCTCACACATAAATGATATATTTACGTATATTATCCCCCTGCATTGACATGAAGTGTAACTTGACCATGATGAAGTCAGTGCTTAAGAATCAACAGTGTGTAGTCTTTGTCTGGTTTATGCAACTATTGTGCCTTAAAACAAACATCCGGCCTTTAGAAAAATTCATAGAGAAATCCACTGAGAAAATGTTTCCTTAAAGAGCATAATGGATGGGTGGACACTGAGTAGAATATATATACAGTAAGGGGAGAATTTACAAAATAATTGCTCAGCTGTTGTAGCAAAAATAAATTGTGCAAGTGTCAAAAACCTCGCAAAGAGTGAAATGCACCCCTTACTGTGCTGTCAAACAAATAACGCCTCGTTGCTCCTGGGCTTTTTTGAATGTATATAAATGAGATAATATGCATACTTGGTGTGCAAAATTGTCCCCTTTCTATGCAAATCAGCCTCACCTCAAAAACTGACGATTTCAAACGGATCAAACAGCCTCATGCAGTTACAGTAAAGTCATTTGGGTCTTCAGAGGCTCAAACTCATTCGTTTGGAATGCAAGGACTGGATGCAATGACAGCTGTGTCCTGATAAAGGAATGAATAAAGCAAGGTTACATGTCGTTTTGAAAATACATGCCGAAAGGATAAAGAAGGAAAGAAATGGTAAAAATACCTAATAAATAAGTATTTATTCCCTTTTATTCCAAATACTTGGCTTTCCTTCGACCTTCTTTTAGTTGCCTGCGGGACATATAGAGATGTGACTCTCGCAGCCCCCCCATGATGAGACCTCTGACTCGGGGTGGCTCTCTGAATAAACGCATTGGCCTCGAGCGATTTATACTTTGCCCCATGGATGATTGCGATCAGATGCAAAAAGGGCAATCCCACTGCAAAACTTCATTGCTGTGTTTGCGCTGTTACACGATTATAGATAGCGGTCATAAGCGATGCGACACTGATGGTTTTAAAAGTAACTACAATCCATTCTTTGTGAATCCGCTCTGAGAGTAAAGCACTCAGACACATATCTGTGTGTGTTTAATATACAGTGAATGGATGTCTACCGTTGTTATGTCGGGTCCTTATTCATGCTGCTGTGTGAGGTGGCAGGAATAAGCATTCAGGAGGTTAACTGTGTGTCAGAGACTGAGGAAGCCTCTCTTACATGCAGCAGTTTGAGTTGATGTGCCAAAAGAGTGACATATTCCAGGTTGTACTGGTTCCTGTCCTGACAACGTGTCACTATGACAGCAGTTCACACAAACTCTCACCAACTTTTATTCTCATTGCACTCTGTTGGCTCTGACACATACATGCACACACAGATCCACACATAAACACAAAAACGGGACTTTGTGCCACTCTTTGTTGGATCAGTCATTTCATATGGCTCGGCTCTCTCTCGGTTCAACTGCGCCCACTGTCACTTCAGTTGATGGAGTTGATCTTGGCAGCTTGGTGTAAATCATACAGACATCAACAAACCATGGAGAAGGTCAGAAAGAGGGCACGGTAGTAAAACATCTGTAGTTCAAATGCAATCTGAAGGTTAGCCTCATTGGTGCTCAAGCTGGTTCGACAGCTGTTCGTAAGGTACACAATGAAACGGCTTTTTTCTCAACAACATTTAGAGGATCGGAAGATAGACATAAATACTTAAAAGGGTTTATAAAACTCGACACACTTGCATAATAGGACTAGAAACCTTCGGAAGAAAAGAATGAACCTATTTGTATTAAACTAATTTATTTGATTAACAATTCTCTTACACTTACAGTTAAAGTCTTGAATGTTTATCACAGTAAAACATAGACTGTAAATTGAAAACGCATCGAGCTGATCCCTACAAATGCTGCGAGGGAAAAGAAAGCACCAGCGAATGACTGAATCCAGTGTGAGCAGGAGACATCCATCATATTTCTTTCAAAAACAAAAGAAAAAATATATATTATGTGTCGGCCTGTGGGTGTGAGTGTTTATGTGACACACTACCTGACCCGTGTCCCATGCTGGCAGCTTGTGCAAACAGCTTGACACGGGAATATTGTGGGTCATGGGATTTGGTGTACATGGGTCCCACGTGGCTTGGTTATGAATAGAAACGTAGGCTGAACACAGGAGGCTCAAGATTGGATTGCATTCTCAAATTGCACTATTGCACTATTCCTCAAGCGTAATAAGTATTCTTGCTAACAGTACTTAGTTTAACACACACTCTCAGGTGGATGTAAAAGACCACTGGGAGCCCAAATCACTGGTTTATGGATTTCATTTCATCAATAATAATGGTGTATTTCAGTAACTGCTCATTAGGCGCATCTGAATGATTATAGCCACTGTGGTTTGCAGTAGAGGTTTTCTCCGTTGAGCTACCATCTCCTGTATGTACCTGTCAGCAATGCCCACATCTGGTAGCATTAGCAGCTAATGTAAATAGCCCATCTGATTTCATTACCTCAGTCATTTGACTTAATGCCACTTAACAAAAGCCCATTGAGAGGTATTACTGAATTGCACACTATGTCTAATTTGGTGGTCCTCGCCATCCGGTTGTTAAGTGCATAAAATGAGATGCACATGAATATACATGACCAGCACCGAAGCAGTGTGAACGCATTTCAATGTGAATGCTCTTAGTTACACAGCCTGTTATTACCTTCAGTGAATAGGTATTATGGTATTGTTGTGAAGTGAAACATGTTAGTCAGGTGTAATTTATACTGTAACTTTATACAGAGATAAGACAATATTTGAATGCGTTTTTGTGCCATTCACACAGCAGAATTAATAGTGCCTGTATGTAAAGGAAAAAGAACTTTGAGTTGTGTAAACTGTGTATAACAGTAAAGAAAACATGCAGGTATGCTGTGCTGCAGTAATGTTGTTACTGTCAAACCTGATTTACATACAGGTTTATTTTTTATGTGTCAGTCTTTCTTTCTATATATCTTTTCATAGTTAACAGCATACATAAGGTTTTCTTGTTTATGGGATTCTTAAGAAAACGATGGCATTATATGTGGGTTTAAAGATGTTTGTATATGTGTCGTCTGCATTATAACTCACTGATTTCTTTATTTTTATATTCTCTTTGTTCTACAGTTACTTAAAGCCTTGCATATTCTTGGTCACTGCCTTTCATTTTCTCTTTGAGGGTGGGATATATACTGTATATTGATTATTTTGCTGTTTCTGGTCTTTCACGAATTCCACCAGTGGATGACAAAAAAAGATTGTGTGTGTGTGTGTGTGTGTGTGTGTGTGTGTGTGTGTGTGTGTGTGTGTGTGTGTGTGTGTGTGTGTGTGTGTGTGTGTGTCAGCCTGGAAGAGTTGCTAACATTTTGTTTCTTCTTTATTGGTTGTTGGGTTTTGAGCACAGCAGGTTCTCATACATGTATGTGACATATTCCATCAATCTTTCAACCTTTTATTTCTCTCTCTTTTCAAGGCTGACCAGTTGATGTTTGCTATGCACTTTGTGAAAGGCATGTACCCTGAACTCTTCCAGGAGAGTGTAAGTATCTTGGAAGAATTAGCATATTTCAAAAATTCAGTGACAAATTAAATAAGCTACGTTTAGCTCTGGACCTGCTGTAATGATAACACTACCCTTTGCTGCAGGAATGGGATGTCTTCACTGGATCCATTGTAGGAGAAATGTTTAAGAAAGAGGTAAGAGAGCAGCTTTCTTTTCTGGGAAAACACAATGCTTCTTCTGTAACTCACTTACACCTCTCCTCTCTCTGTAGGAGTTCCCTTCTTGGATTGATCAGGAGAGACAAGGAGCCGTGGCCATTTTTAAAGTAAACGCATTGATACTCCTACAGATGTACACAGACTAACACACTCAAACCATATATAACAACTCAGCAACTTCATGATGTACAATTATTTTGACTTTTCCAACAACCAGTGGACGTATAAAACAATAACTTAATGCGACTCAAAGACAATGCCAGCTAAGCAGTTCTGTTGACCTGTCTTTAACCCTTTTAACTTGAACTCTTTCACAGACTACATTCCCGGCCCTTTACCAGTCGCTAAGTTTGAGTGACTCAGACCTTTGGCTGTCCTTCTCGCAGAGCTCGCAGTGTGAGCAGGAAATCCCATCCTCCATTGCCAAGAAGATTACTTCCTTCCAGCAGGTCAGCTATCAATCAAAAAGCATTCACTTCATCAGCCAAATGGTTATCATAATTTACAGAGTATAGTATTGTTTCCTCTGCCAAGAAAACAATGTTATAATCTCAGTGTATGTTATTGTTCCTCTGTCAGTCAGCAGATTTGAGTCAAGTCTGCTGTAAAGTTAGCACTTGGGTCAGGGAAGAACTGATTAAGCTTAAGTGCAGATCGTGCTGCCATTTATAAAACACATTTAATAATGAAGCATACATTGAGGCGTACCGTAGCAACAACAAAAGTTCCTCTGAATTTGTTGTTTCAAGATGCAATCCGTCAGCGTAGGCCGTCCCCATTCCTGCTTTTTTTTGCAAAACAGTTTTTGATTGCCACTCTTAAGAATCTAATTTGTTTATATATACAATGTTAATTCCAATTTGCTCTTCGTGTTGCAAATATTGCTCAAGCTCCCATTACTTTTATTCACATTGTGCAGATGGGAATTTGCAGAATGTATCCTCCTGTACTAAAACCTAATATTTGTAAACAGTATTTCTCCAAAACATTCTAATTATTATTGATTAATGCTTACCCTATTTACCATACAATACGTTTGGAAGATAATGCTGCTTTGGCAGAAGTGACTGCTCTCTAAATTCTTGCTAGTTTTTAGTGTGATAACTTTAATGAAAGCCTTTTCAAATCTTCATTTCTTTCCCTCTTAAGGAGAAGATGTGATGTGAACAGAAAGCAAAACAGCTGGCTTGTGCCCTTGAGCACACCCTTCACATGTGGTTTGAGATTGAATAAAGATTTAGCTAATCTCATTTCAAAGCATGAGCAAGACAGAAGCCACTTGTCAAACCAATTGACTTATTCATTTACTTTTCAAATGATGCTCTGAAAAACATAATAAAAGGAGCATCCAAATCTAAAGGATGCTACTTTTTTTCTTTTTGGATTTGTCAAGTTTGTGTACGATATGAGTGGGTTTGACCTTTAGTGATACCGGTTTCTTTCTTCTGCTCTCCTCTCCCCAGCTGTTATTGGTTCAGGCAGTCAGACCAGACCGACTGCAGAGTACTATGGCAGCGTTTGCCACCCAGGCCCTGGGTAAGTGTTTCATTGTAGGGCTTTTTACTTTTAAATATTTTCAATCAATGTGCTTAAGTGGGCTGGAGCTGAGCTCAGTACCGTTGTACTTCCATGGACTACAAAAATGTATTTATTATTCACAACATAATCGTGCTACAAAGTGGGCACCCAGCTGCTCTAGAAATGTGTCCCATCTTCATTGATAATTTAAAAGGTTTCTTTTTCTTTCCTATTTTACTGTAACTTGCCCAGACCCTAGATATGAGTATCACATCAATGATTACACACATTTGACCTGGCACACATTTTAAGTGTGCATATGTTGAGATAAACAAACGGACACATACACTGAAGCTCTGCTTTGTACAAAGGAAGAGAAGCTTGATTAGCTGTTGAAAAATGTGAACAAGCTGACATGTTTGTTCTGTTTAGGTTCAGTAAATATTTGCCCTTCTCAATTGGAGTACGATAACTCATAATAATGAGTTGTAAACATCCCAAATGACTAGATCCTCCTTTGCCCCTTTTGATAAACTACTTTGCTTCTGCACTTATTCTGCTCTGTCGGAAGATGCTTTGCTTTTCAAGGTTCTTCAGCCCTCACACTCAACTCAAGCAAAAATACTACAAGGTTCATTCTGGATCTATACACTTCACAATCACGTGTTCAACCCATGTTCCTTTTTCCTCTATTTGTATTTCATCCCTGTATGACTGCCACTGTCCTTGAGTAATTGCCACATACCCACAAGAACACACAAAAACATGCACGCACGCACGCACGCACGCACGCAGACAGACAGACAGACAGACAGACAGACAGACAGACAGACACACACACACGCACACACTAAGACACCCACATTATGTTGTGAGAGAGTTTATTGTGCTTAATGAGCCCATTCATTCAGTCCAGATAATCCTAATGGTGGGTTGGATTCTGTCTGCACTATCTGGCATGCTGCTAATTGATGTCAGGTGAAACTAATATGCAGGTTATAATGTATGTGTACCAAACTCATTTTCAGTTGTGCTGTGAGACATGTTAATTGACTTCTGAGGCTTTTAGTTTAATTGGTTCTTCTCTCGTTTGCTATGTAGGATATTTTGGATTGTGGCAACAGGAGCAGGTTCATTCATCTGTGCATAAATATGTCAGTTTTTTTTTAATCTTCTTTTTTTGGTGAGGGTGTGTATGTGCTGGGCCATTTTTGAGAAGCTCCCAATCTAGTAAATCACTAATGCCAAATTCCTTTTTCCAGGCAACTTTGCTGGCAAGTAAAACAAAATAACACATTTCTCCGAACTTTCTATTCTCATTACACGAAGAAAAATGTATCAAATCAAACCACATGGGAGACATTTACAACACACGGTAACACACAGCCTCAGGGCACGCTTCTGTAGCTTTTCTTGCCTTTGTCAGTCATTTAAAAAGCCTTACTTGGCGTGTTAACCGTAGGGAAATCTATTTGCTTTGGACATCAGCTTCTTCTTCATAAGAATATTCATTGATGAATAAACAATAACTCAAGGCCAAACATTCCCCTATTTTAATGAGACCCCCACTTCCTTCAATAGTTTTTGAAACTAAGGTAAAACTTTATGAGTATATGATCATCTGGTTAGCAGTAAGGGAATTCTAATAGAGTTTGTAGGCTTAACAGGAACAATTTATATAATCATTGTTGCATTTGAACAAGACTGAGGTCTGTTGTTCTTCTAAAAGTTATTGTGAAGAACATTTGATATACAACCTACTTTTTTGCTTCTTTCCCAGATCAGATTTCAACCCCCTGCTATAATGTTCAGCAGCAGCTAAATTCTTACACAAATCTACTGGCACCCGGCTTTAAACAGTTTGCATTTGTTTCCCATTAATCTAAAAACGCATGCGCATGTGGCATAAACTGCAATTAGGGAAAAAATAAAATAATTAAAATATTCACTGACTACTCTAAACAAAGTATGTGGACATCGAAATATTCACACAAAGGCCCTAATCAAGCCCAGGTGCATTGTGTCATGACCGAGCACTGAAGCAGTGACACATTACGGGGAGAGCTGGTTGATGAACACAATACCAAGAGTGTAACTGCAAACATAAAAAAGAAATGATAATACACTTCATTTGCTTGCTAGTTTATTCAGTGGTGAACGTGTGCATGGATGAGTGTGATGCAGTGTGTCAGGGACTTACAATGGGAAGCGTCAAACAAACAAAGATAAATGGTGGTGTAGTGATAGGTTCACAAGAGAACTGCCCAGCTCGGGAGTCTGGTATGTTTAGTTTTTTTCCTTTGTCATAAGCTCTATGTTTTTTATAGAAGCGGGTGTCCTGACTCTTTTCCTTTAGCAGTATAGCCTATGTCTCCTCGTTGATTTTTGTATCTCTATTTTTTAAAACACTGCCCCGTGTGAGGCTTGAACTCACGACCTTCAGATTATGAGACTGACGCGCTGCCAACTGCGCCAACGAGGCTGGGAAAGTCAAGTTGTTATTTATATAAATCTGAGCATCTCGTTCCGTCTGTTGATCAACACAGCCTGAAAGTTGTGTTCGGTGAGTTTGACAAACATGTTTTTTTTGTGCATGTCTAAGCAACTTAAGAAGTCAGTCCTACCATCCAAATCTTTTCTGCAGTTTATCACAGCAGTCCAGACATCTCTTTCTATGCTACTCTTAACCTTATGGTCAACTAGCTCCTTTCTAAGCGTAGGATCAGCAGCTGTACTCTGAGTTTCCTTTGGATGTGTGAGCTTCTTACCCTAGCTCCAAGGATGAGCCAATTCATCCTACTAAGGAAACTCATTCTCACCAGTTGTACGTGCAATCTCATTCTTTTGGTCCCTTCCCTAAGCCTATGACAATAGGTGAGGGTGGTAAACTAGATTGACTGGTAAGTAAAAGACAAGAAAACTATAATTGTCTGAACCAGCTGTAAGATTTGTGTTCTTATACTATAATTCATTTCCCTAACAACAACAAAAGACATAGAAATACAGTCCTGGGATGACAGTGAGGTACTGTG